TTGTTTGTTGATTAGTTCAAAACCATCAGCATTAAAAATTAGTTTGAAAAATTGGCATCATGAATTAAAATGGATTGATCCCTTTTTTCTTAGACAAGTAACAAATTTTATAGAATTGATTGCATTTTTACATAAAGATTATAAAAGTAGTGGATTTATATTTCATCTTGGAATGGAAAAACAAACCTATGCATATGGTCAACCAGTTTGCGAATGGTTATCATTAAAACATCGACAAAATTATCCACAAAAAATTGAAATATTATCTGGAAAATCTATCAGAAAAGTAGCATATGGTTTTGAAATGGTTGTAATATTGACTGAAAATGGACAAATTTATATAGCTGGTAATAGTTCACAATGGCCAAGATCGGTGGATGATGTTGAAATGCGATTATTATCGAAAACAAAACATTTCAAAGATATTGCCTGTGGTCGTGCACATGCACTTTGTCTGGAAGATAATGGAAATCTTTTTACGATCGGTGATAATTGGTATCAAAATGGAAAAGAAATAGCAGATTATGAAAATTTAATCGATACTGAATTAACAGATGTTCATACAATAGCATGTGGTTGGATGCATTCATTAGCTATAAAGTTTTATAATAGTTTATATGGTTGGGGTATGAATACATCGAATCAAATCGCAAACAAATATGTATTTATTAATCATCCTTTTTTAATGATGGCTGAAGGTCAATACAGTGATGGATATGAAAATGTTTCGGCTGGTTTAGGATTGACATTAGCAATTACCTCTAAAAAAGAAATTCGACAATTTGGAAATTCTTCTATAGATTTTCTAAAATCGAAATTTAAAATAATCGAAATGCTAACATTAGCATCAGCAAAGTTAACTTGTTTTCTATATGAAAACTATCATGGCAGAACGGAGTTTTATATTTTCGATCCCCAATCATTATTATCACCGCTAACCATTGTAGCAACGAATTTTCAGGAAATTTTCGAAAAATTTTTAACAAAACCAATAACATTTGGTTGGAGTATGAATACGGACGGGTTTTATTCGAATTTTTATCATTATTCAATGTCTGAATCAATAACCGCAACGTTTAACTGTCCAGATTCGGATGTAAACGATTTACGATTCGAATTACCAAATGATAATGATGATGATACGAAGAAAGGTAGCCGATATATTTATGTACAACGATCATATCTACGAATGGTATCCGAATATTTTAATCGAATGTTATCAAATGAATGGAATGATCAGAAAGTGATTCGAATAACAACAATATCATATGATATTTTCTATCAATATATTCAACTTTTATATTTTGGTCAAATTCATTTGAATGATTCGAATGTTGAAGAATTTTTGGATTTAGCTGAATGTTTTTTGGATAAAAATTTAAAAGAATTATGTAAAATATATTTGGAACATAATTCAACAAATTCGAATGTAATGATGGAACTTAAAGAACGATACAAAATATTGAATGACGAATGAAAGAAAAGAAAAACTGATCGCATCATATTTGTTCTGTTTTTTATGAATCCGTTTTTCAATATTTAAAAAAAATGTAATCAAAATTAATCATGATAATTTAATAATAATTAAAAAGTTTGTAAAAAAAAAAAAATTCTCTATGCTCTTTTGTTTATAGAATAATTTTACGAATTGGATAACCAGGACGAAATGATCCAATATAAAGTTTTCGTTGTTGATTTGAATTTTTATCCGAAGGAATTTCACTGATTTCACTTGCCCATGCTAATTGATTATTAGTTTGATAAATACATTGAATAATATGACCATTTGAATCAATTTCTAATAACATTCCACCATAAATAAAATCATCATTAATTTTGTTTAG